GATGAACACTCCATTAGCTATTCCACACCAACCACCTGCTTCTCAGCAAGAATAAAATGTAACTCATGGATTTTAATTGAGTTTATTTCCTTTCCAGGTGTCTGATCCATCACAAAAAGTAAAGCTGGTTGGTTAAGTAAGCAAAAGCGATGCTGGACTTTAGTTAAGCAAGAAATCGAGGTCAATTCTCTGATGGCAGCAGGTGGATTCTGCCTCTTGGGGGAAATTCAGCCTCAAAAATGTCTGGTTTTCCTTATTTTTAACACCTCTGTCATCTTCATGAGGGTAATGAAAAGCAGCTCTAAATCCTCCTTAGTAACTCCAGGAGACCATGGAACACCTAAAAGAGACGTCAGGTTCTGGGGTTGAGCTCAGCCTTCAACCAAGGCTCATGCAATAATGAGGATTTCCAGGTTTGGATCCATTTGTCAGGAGCCAGCAGAGCCTACTCTTGGTTTACTCTCTGGTGCAATTCTGTCAAGCCATAATTATCCAGGAGGAAAATCCATGTTGATTTATTCTATCTGTTGTAGAGTAGCGTTTTAGGAGCTGCTGATCTCTCCATGGTGAACAGCAAGATGGAACATGAATTTATCTTTTATCTCCAAATCAAGCATCATATCTAAAGCAAAGGGAGGTAAGACAAATCCCAGCTCTTATCCCTACACCAGGAAAAAAATACATGAAGGGAAGTCCCATTTTCCAATGCATTCACCTAGAAAATCTCTTCCTGGGACACAGGGAGCAGGTATTTATTCCTCAGGTGCTCAGGCTGGATAGGGAATGATCAAAATGCAAGAAATAATTTCATTTTCTCAGGAATTATCAGGAAAATAATGGAATTCCATGTGTAAGTGGATTGAGAAGAACTAGGAGGAAGCCTTGCAACTTATTTATGATTTATTTATTTTGATATGGTATTTCCCTTCTTAATGGCTTAAATATGCCCCTGCTTCCAAATGCATTGGCTGAACAGGGATACTGGTGCCATGAACTTGTGGTTTTTCTCTTTCAAGGAGAATTTACCTTTTATTGCCTGAAAGTTTTGTAACTGCTTGACAAAAATTAACATTCTTATCATTATCAATGGATTTATGTGCATTAAACACTTCAATCTAAAGACAGAAAGCAGCTGATCTGCATATAAAAAATGTTCAGTATGGCTGGAGAAAATGAGATGTTTGCATCTGAATTTATTCTGCAGGGCTTCACCACCCAAGCAGATCTGCAGGTGGTGTTTTTTGTCTTGTTCCTTGCCCTCTATGTGGTCATTCTCCCAGGAAATCTGGGAGTCATCATGTTGATCCAGATTGATCCATGCCTCTTCACTCCTACGTGTTTCTTCCTGAGCCACGTGTCCCTGCTGGACATCTGCTGCTCCTCCACCATCATTCCCCGGAGCCTGAGGGATGTTTTGGTGGAGAAGAAGTTGATTTCCTTTGCGAGATGTGTCACCCAGCTCTTTTCCTTCACCACCTGGGCCACCACTGAGTGCCACGTGCTGGCACCATGGCCTACCACTGCTACGCGGCGACCTGCAGGCCCCTGCTCTACTCCGTGTCCATGTCCCAGAGGATTTGCATTGGGACGTTGGCTGGAGGGCTCAGCTCCACTCTCCACACCATATTTCCATGTTCCACATCCTGTTCTGCCACTCCTGGGCCATCAAGCCCTTGGTTTGTGACAGGCCCTCCTCCTCCGATACCCACTCCAGCAAGGCTGTGGTGGCTGCCATGGTGGGGTTCAATATGCTGAGCACCACGGCTCATCCAGATCCATCCTGGTTCCTCTCTGTCCGTCCTGGCTGCCGCCTGTGGATCTGCTCAGTGGCCAGGCAGCACGAGGCCTTGTCCACCTGCGCCTCCCACCCGGCCTCCATCGCTCTGAGCCACAGCAGCTCCACCCTCATGGACCTGTGCCTGTCTCCAGCTGCTCCCTGGAGAGGACAAGCTCATCTCCCTGGGGTATTCCACCACTGCCCCCATGCTGAGCCCGTTCCTCTACAGCCCCAGCAACACGGACTTGAGGAACGCTGTGAGGAAAGCAAAGTGTTGGATCCTTGCTGCCATCCATGGCTCCTGGTCGGCTGAAAGGAGAGGACAGCCCCACTGCAGTGAGGAGTGGTAGATTTTGGACCCTCGGGAAGAGAGATTGGATATCAGACCCTCAAGAAGAGAGTTTGGATATCAGACCCTCAGGATCCCAGGGTTGTAGTCCAGACTCATCTTCCAAGCCATTGGTGCCATGGTGTCCCTGCAGCAGCACCGCAGGGAAGGGAGGAGACATCTGCTGGCATTGTGTGGAGCGCAGGAGCCGAGGGGGAACGTGGCAGAGCAGAGCCGGGGTGCGAGATGAGGCACCACCCTTAGGGACACTCCCTGTGCTGCAGGGCAGGAGCTGCGGAGATTCCAACCCTCGGGGGAGCTGCTCTGCCCTCCCTTGATTTTTCCCCCTTTTTGGGGGGGATGTCCATGTGAAAAGGGCTTTTATGGAAGCACCGAGCTGCAGGCCAGGGCACTTGGGCTCGTTTTGTGCCTTCTCTGGGGCAGAGGAAAATGAGATGGGGGTGTCCAAAGGGTGATGGTGTCATTGGGACACCCCAATGTCTGTGGAGGGGGAGCTAGGTGAGTGAGGGACGAGGGGAGTCAGGAGAGGTCCTCCTAAAACCCAGGGGAGGCTATAGCCCGAAAAAATGACAGAAAATTCTTGAGGGGTTTGTGTGTAAAATACTTAAAACTACAAAGATTCTAATTTTCTATATATTGAGAAATAATCTTAATTTATATAAAAATTGGTTTTAAAATAACCCCGTTTGTCTGCTGTGTTATAGTCAAGATTTTAGACTGTAAGAAATTCTCAATATGGATCTGTAGGGTTTGAAAATACAAATAAAACCCTTGTGTGCGCAAATGAAACAATAAAGGGCTCAAAGAGGTAAGACAAGATGGTCTGTATGAAGGACCAAGAAACATCTCTGTGTATGCGGAATTCTTTCTCAGTCCTCACTCTGGAACACTCGAAATCCGGGATCTGCGATTGACTGAAATTGGGATTTATTGGCGCCTGAAATTGGGATTTTTTTGACCCCGAAAACCGCTGCGCATGTGCGGTGGCCGCGGCTCCCTCAGTACTGCCGTCTTGTGGACACACCCGGCACT